GTGCAAAATATTGTATTACTCAGAGATCACACAAGGTAAGAGTGATCTATAAACACAGGCTATAAACAAAGGTTTTCATACCGTTACGCTATGCAGATATAGGGGAAAATAAAAGAACAAAGATTCTTTCATATATGTAGTGACACGCGAAGAAAAATAGCTGCTTGGCGAGAATACAAGTGATACTATTAACAACGGTGTTTTGTCGGAGAAATAAAATCCAATGCATATATACACATACCTGTATATTGTATATCTTGCATTAATGTGAGACGGTTAGACTCTAGAGCAACTTTTCTTGAAAATATTTTTCATTTATAGGTAATGTAGGTTGCATATTTTCTCATATCGATGACCCGACGAGTAACTTTAAAGGAAAAGAAAAATATCGATAGATAAAACAACGTTGTTTCAATGACCAGTATTCTACAATTTACATGGGTCCTCACTGATTTATACACTTTGCCAATATTATAACTAGAATGATATAGTGAATACAGCCTTTAAAGTCATTATTTATTTTTACTCTGCAGTCGATGTCACAATTACATTATGTACACTGGTTGACCTAAAGAATAAAACATGTCTTTGATCTCGGTAACTACAATACCGGGACAAATTCTTGATAAATGTGAGTTTTTACTAGTATAGCTAAAATACATAGAACTGAGCGCAATAACCCGTTGGAAACATGCCATCGTAAATACATGGAAGAATAACAACGGGAACTTTTCTAGTGTCTGTGCTTGTTAGGAAACGATAAGGAAAATTAGATACGCTAATATTACCGTCATTTCATATTAAATGTAAGCCAGTATGTACGACCATATTTTCATGTATGGAATACCAGCCCTACTTGGTTCAAATTGCACCCTGCGCATGTAGAGTTTGTATACGCGTAATTCTTTATATTGTTTATAGTGTCATTATTACTGTTGTTATAGTGTTGTAGTTGTCTTTAATTTTACCACTATTTCACTATTACTATTGTTAGCATAAGTATTACTATTAGTAGTACGAGTAGATCTAGTATTGTTATTAAACTCATCATTTATAATAAAGGTGTCATCATTACGGCGATTTCCATTCTTTCAAAAGACTCGACATGGAACAATTAGCAACGCTTAA